ATGACAGGGAGATTGCCACTATCCCTCAAGAGGAAGGTATATAACAGCTGTATCTTGCCAGTACTTAGCTACGGAGCAGAAACCTGGAGACTTACAAAGAGGTTCAACTTAAATTGAGGACGACGCAGCGAGCAATGGAAAGAAAAATGGTGGGTGTAACCTTAAGAGACAAGAAAGGAGCAGAGTGGATTAGGGGAGAAACGGGGGTTAAGGAAATAAAGAAGACGAAATAGTTGAAATAAAGAAGACGAAATGGACAAGGGCCGGGCATGTAGCGCGTAGACAGGATAACCGCTGGTCATTGAAGGTAACTAACTGGATTCCCAGAGAAGGGAAGTGGGTTAGGGGGAGACAGAAGGTTAGGTGGGCAGATGAGATTAAGAAGTTTGCGGGCATAAATTGGCAGCAGCAAGCACAGGACCGAGTTAACTGGCGGAACATGGGAGAGGCCTTTGTCCTGCAGTGGACGTAGTCAGGCTGATGATGATGATGATGATGATGATGATGATGTGGCCTGAAATTCAGAATAAATTGTCAAATTCGGCAAATGATGCCACATGCTCAAAATTCACTCATTCACAGCCATTGTATCAGCCATTGGCTGATTTGAGAATGGCGCACTCGTGCATTACTGGTGCCGCCGCGGGAGGCCGCCCCTTGTCCATGCGTATGTGCATGATCGCACTGAAAAGCCGTGCATTCGAAAAAAAAACAAGGAGGAAAAAATTGGCCCCAGATCTGCATGTTACACTGCAAATGTCGTCGAAAAATGATAGTCCTGCATCTGGAGAGAGTGAAACAAGTGTTTATTTGATGTTTTACGCAAGAAAATCGTGTGAATGGTATTCTGAAGGCGCTGCGTTAGAGTGCCTTGAGCGTGCAGCAGAAGCGAACGAACATATCGAGGCACGTTAGACACAAGCGTCATCAGAAAGTTATCTTCGAAAATGAAGGAAGGCGCGCGCTTGGAGACAGATGCGTGCCATTCTCGGAGGCGATAAGCTGTAGAACGCAAAGTGATGAACAGGTTCCACCACGGTGTCGTCTTAGCAAAGCGTTGGTAACACTTGCCTTTTTGAGCATCACGTTGCTATGTGAGCGCAGTGTGATAAACGCTACGGCCCTTAAAATTACTTGTGTGTGCCTTCTCTAGTATAAAGGCCACACATACAAAACATCGAAGTGTTGTTATAGTGCCTCAGATATGCACGATAATTGCTTTTAATTGACAAAGACACAAGTATGAAAGCTGAAACTTGAGCAATATTGGTGGCACTGCGTGATAAGGTCGACCGTTTCAGGTATCGTTAAGAGTACAAAACAGACAAATGTACAGACAGACAGACAAACCAAATTTTTTCGTCGAAGTCCCCAAGAAGACTATCGTCTTTAAAAGTGTTCAAATTCACGAGGCGCGCTTGACATATATTTTTTTCCTCGTGTAATCCCTACCTGCTTAGCTTCCAGCGCTTTCGTCGGGCCAAGAAGAGAGAATGCAATTGCGGTGTGCAACAAATCTTTGCAACTCAGCTTGTACTGAACGGCATTCTAATTATTTTTGCAGCGGTGCAATTCGTGATGCAATAAGGTTCTTTGGTGAATCCATTTCATGGCTACTTTACAAAATGTTGCAGGGCTTTTTCAAATGAGCATATTACCCTCATATCGATTCATCATTTTTTAAGCTTAAAAGCTTGTTATGTGACTTATATGCTCTAAGAATAAAAACATTACAATGTTACATATTTTACAGGTTATCACTCGCATAATACCCAAAGTCAGATCCTGCTGCTGCAGCTGAAAGTTCTTCAGGCCTTATTCGAATTAAAAAATATTGGGCAGGTTAGTTAGGTCATGATAAATATGCCTATTTTTCTTTATATGTTATATACACCATACGAATTCACTCTGAGCCTCAAATTCTCTATTCGAACAAGCCTACTTTAAGATGCGATATCGCGTAACCCTACAAACGCTGCTGTAAGAAACTATAGCCATGCAAAGAGAGATGCTCTTTGCGTTGAGAGCGCAGCACGTAGAAGTGTAACAAGCCATCGAGCTGATGCCTGCCATGATCGCACGCGCATAGCGATTCGCAACCATGCTCTAAGGATCAAAGTTCACAGCTGCTCCTGGAGTGATTACAAGCTTTGCGAAACCAAGACCAGAAACCGTTTTGATTAAACCAAAAAGACGTTTTGAGCACAGAGCATGATGGCTTTTCATATTTTGCGGTTAATTTCTGGTGCTGAGGCGCAGTACGGCGCTGATAGGTGAGTTTGGCACAGGATGGTGCAGGCAAGCAAGTTTGCTGCACAATGGCGCAAATGGTGCCGCTGCTCCATCCCTGCCTCAAGGGCCCCTTGAAAAGCACATGAAGATTTACAATTCACCGGATGGTGCAAAACTTCAGGCGGTAAATGTTGCTCCCAGTGATGCGTGCATATTAAGCATGTCAGGCAAGTACGCAATTGAACAAATTGTACATAGCCCGCAGAAAATTCCACGACTTGCCACCCTGTTGCCGCATGTCCCCATTTTAAATGCACTGTTTACAACGGGAAAGCCACAGCTACCAAGGTCGAGGATCCGGAGGCCATCATTCGCTTCACAAGCTCTTGCTTGATCTTGCAATGAAACTTTTATGTTGACATTTGGCCCGTCAATGATATGTGTAAGATTTTCAATCGTCAGAGTCCTTCCGAGGTCCTTTTAAATGCAGACACCAATTCTTCAGCTAGAGTGCGCCCGAAAAAACGTGACGTCATGTAGTGAGTTTCACATGTTCCTCTGCACCTGACCAAAGCAAACCACAACATCCATTTGCTTCCGTCTTTTTTTCTATGATTCATCAACACTATGGCAAGGTAGCACGCTTGGCTCACTTAGGAGGACACAAGGCTCTCCTTAAAAAAAGGTGCGAGACATAGACAATGGTATATCCCACCTTGTCTTTGCTAAGTTGCATTTTCTGGGCTGTACTGACGATGGAAACATGACGAAAACACAGACGCCGACGCCACAGCAGCACGCCATGATAAGTTCATCATGACAGCATTGAGGCACCAAATGGCTTGTGCATTACTGACCAATTTGTCATGTCTAAACAAATCTTTTGCTGCGCTTGGGAGCTGGAAGTCTGTTGCGTAGTTTTAGCAGGTGAAGGCTGCGCAGATCCTGATGTCACTGGCCCCATCTTGGTCAAACCGGCGACCGACCGTCCACTTGCGGTGGCGTCAGAAATGATGCTACAGAGGGTGTCCCGGCTCCACTCACAACAAGTCAATGCTTTTACTATTTGTGTGGCTTGTCACAGCTCTTTTTCCCATGTAACAAAGTGAAAAGTGTTTTCTGCACAGCACACAGTACGCTGCATTCACAATCTTTTCAACGAGCCTTATACAAGCTGACCACCCGGAATGTTTGGGATTCGTCCAGTCCTTCACGAAACTACACTTGAATGCCGTCATACTTCTCAAACGAAAGTTGCCTGCAGCACAACTGCCGTATTTAAAAACAGTCAGCTTCAATTGATGACACAAAAGCAAGAGACAGTTCGTCACTTTGCAGCTCTGTCATTATCAGAAAACGAGCGCTCCATTAGGCGCGAGCACCACCTTCGAATGACGGAAAGCAACCTTGCTGCCAGTGGTTTTTCCCTCAAAGCGCGCAACAAAAACAACCACGAAAGACTGCCCACGACAATGCGTCAGACATCGAGCGGTAGCGTGTCAATCTTCTTATCACCTGGAAACAGCTGCCGGCATCGCTTAGAAAAATAGAGAAGGATTGAGAGAGAAGGAACGCCGCAGCTTGTGACGCCACCGTCAGCAAGATGTAACAGAAAAGATGGGAAGCATCCGTAGCTTCCACTGTGCTGCACGCAAGCGAAGCATCTGACTGAGACTGACTGCTTCCCTCTGCTGCACGCTTTTATAGCCACACGCCCGGATTTCAGACGATTCTGGGGCCTTCGCTTGCATGCAGCACAGCGGAGGATATAGACGCTTCAAGATTTTCTGGTACTTTGCGCCGACGGTGGCATCGCAAGCTGTGGCATCACTCTTTCTTTCTCGATCCTCCTTCGTCTTTCTAAGCAATGCTACCAGCTATGTTCAGGTGGTAAGGAGGTTGACATGCCGCCGCTTAGTGTCTGACGCATTCTCGCGCTGTCTTTAATGATTGTTTTTCCATTGCGCACTTTGAAGGGGAACCCGCTGGCAATGCAGCTGCCTTCCATCCTTCGAAGGAACGCTGTCATGCTGCCTTTAATGGTTGTTTCTTCGTTGCACCTTTTGAAGGAGAACCCGCTGGCAGCGCAAAGGCGGCGCGCACTCCTTATTAAGCGCTCGTTTTGTGACATACGGTAACAACCCAAAGCGGACTTCAGCAGCGCACAGGCGGCCTTCGTTCACAAGGTGCATAGTTAGAGCCAGCATTACTGCATATTTAGTTTCCTTGATGAAGTTACAGCTGATTTTTTTTGAGAGAAGCCAGAATTCCCCAAGCTTTCCCTGAGATTTTCAGGACTAACCAAAATCCCCGAGATTTCCCGGATTTCCCGGTTGGTAGACACCCTGATATGTGTATTCCGGAAAGCAGTGACATTAAAACTGTGTTTCGTGTGCACCATAGCGAGACTGGTGAAGCCAGTGCCACACAACTAGAGGCTGTGTGCATCCCACATCTTTCGATCCTCAGCCGTTGGGGGCCGCACACAGCATCACAAAGGGCACTCCAAGCTTAAATTACTCTTCGTAACACTTCCAAGAGTAGAAAAAAGATTTTCTAGCGACTTGAAAACACTTATAAAAAAGAAAAGGCAGTCTGTGGGAGTTCTAAAAAAGTTGTTCATGCACGCATTTCTCAAGAACGGTGAGCTGTAGCAAAGAAATGTGGCTACGCATCCTCGCCATGTTCTTTTGCCTCCCCTCCCCACTTAGAAAGTAGGCATTGGGGCAAGCCACTGCAGTTGTCTTCACAAAGCAAAACAAACCCACCTCCAGCACCTTAGGCTTGACACGAACATCTTGCACCAATCCCTGGAACACCGTGGTGACTAGCTCCATGACCTGGTCCACTGTCAGCACGACACTGAAATAGTACAGGAATAAGTGGCCAAGTTATGCATATTTGCTTGCCATTTAAAGTATGCAATTATTTTTATAGTATAAGACATACTTTTTAAAATATCCAATACATTCTGAACAACACTGAATATGTGAAACACACGAAAAATGCCACAACCAAAATCCAACAGGAGCTAAACAAGTACCTGCCGACATTTTTAGAAACCACCCTGAGTCAAAAACGCTCTACTTAACCTTTATACACTCTGATCTCATATAATGAACCCGAATATGGCCAATATTGGTTATAATGAATTAAATGAAAAATAATCTTGAATCGGTACAGTGTCAGAAATAAACCATTAAAATTGATTTTTAAATATAACGAACTTAATTTCGTGCAAGATGCAACCCTGTTCTAACGAGGCTTGAGTGTATGCACAAACTGGGATTCCATGGCCTTCCACACGAGCCGAAATTCCATGGCCTTCCAAACAAACCGGAGGCCCCGCTTTGCCCGACAGTTGACTTTAGCACATGCCCACTTCGCTTACTTTCCGACCATCTGCACAGGACTTTGTCACCACTAGTGTGGAAGACAGCTATGCTAGAGCCCCTGAATGAAATAAAAGTAACTGCAATTATTGTTATTTCCTTCTGTCCTCCTTTCCTGTGCTTCCCCCGACGCTCGGTGCTCCCATTAGCCGAACGCCATCACGTGCCTCTCGCACCCATTTTCTCTGCTTGTTTTTTTGTTTTTCTTGGGCTTATCTCCATAGCGGTGCCAACACGACAAGCTTCACATGTGTGCAGCATGTTTTGTGCCTCTTTTTGGACTTCAGCAGCGTGGTTCAAGTTGGTATGTGTTTGCGATTCCCCTTTGCTGCACCTGCAGTTAAAGCATACGTTAATCTGACTGGAAGCTACATTTTGGATTCCAATGAAGAGAGAGACACGCTATGGTAGAAGAATTGCCGGGATGAGTTCAAACCGTATCAACTCTGTAAGGTACACGAGCGCCTCTTGGCGTTTCGCTAACATCATTAGGTTTTCGTCCTTTTAAGGGCCGCATATTTATTTTTGCATTTATTCGAATGTTCGTCCGCGGCTTCCTTGAAGTACTTCTCAAATGTGTTTTTTGTTAACCACAGTGTAGAATCCATGCTTTTTAACTGGGGACGCTTCTCTGCTTGCACTCAAGATGCGTTCCATGGCAACACGAACGTCCACTGCATGCCCACATTTTGTGTGCGAAGAACAAGGTGTGCACTTTCATCTTTAGGTGCTGGTGTGCAATCCCTGTGTCCTTTGACTAATAAAGTCAGATTTTGTTCGCAATGCCGGTTGCTTCGAGGAAGCGTTTTTTTCTGCACGTCACCCGGCCGACAAATATCCACAGCCGTCAGCAGTCCGATAAAGGCCACCGTGAAGCTCGGTTGTTTCTCCCCGCCACCCAAGTGCAACAAAACTTCGATGTCCTCTCAACACACCTTACAGCTTGCTGCGGTGACTCCGGCTGCCGATGTCATTGTTGCGAATAGCATGCATGGCCGTGTAGACGTGTGGCCGTGTAGCATGCGTGGCCGTGTGAGACCGCGCGGTGGTCCGAGGACCTGAGGGGGTCCAAACACACTTGCCAAGAAGTTTTCCAGTCTTTCCGTCTTTCCGTCTGTCGATGTCCTCTTGTGTTTCGGTAGTCAGTAATAACATCACATGGAAAAAAAATCTCACTGAAATACCAGCTGACCAGCGTGATCGCTTCGCGGCAACATCGTCGGATGTGGAAAGTGAATGCCAGCTATGCACCGTGTAGGTGGATTCATTGTAGAAGAAGAGAGAAAACGCCGGTGCACGAGGTACAAAGAGGATTTGTCGTTACTTTTATTTTATTCAGGGGCTTGTGAGAAATGCCACCTATTCTGTTCAGCATATGTTGGAGGTGACAATCTGCAGTGACAAGAGCCTCGTATCATTCGATCTCATTTCTTTGTTCATGAGTGTTCCCGTACCCCTCACGGTCTCAGTTGCCCAAACCGCCCTGGAGAAGGATGAGGACCTCTGCGAAAGGACGAACCTCAGCACAATTCAGTCATATAGAGTTCTCCCTCAATGCACATAGTTTTCTTTAAGAGGTGAATTCTATAGGCAATTGACTGGAACCACCTTGAGAGCCACCATTTCAGCCACACTGGAAAACTTAGCAATAGAGCACATTGAAAAACGAGCTTTGGACACGTTCACCAAACCACCAAAAATGTTTTTGAGGTATGTTTATGCTGTCTTTTGAAGAGCAAGGAGCATAACAACCGACAGTTTTTTGGCAGACGTAAATTCAATCGAGCTGGTAATTCAATTCACTGTGGAGCGTGAAAAGAACAGTGTTCTTCCTTTTCTGGATGTGCTAATGAGACAGCAACTAAAAGCAGAGGTGAAAAGGCGCTTGAGCTTTTGGGTGCACCAAAAACCCACACACAACGAACGATATCTAAAGTTCAGTTCTAGCCTCGTGATCATCCAAAAGTATCGGTTTTGGAGACGCTCTTGAACCGTGCAAGGAACATCTACAGCTCCAAATAAAGGCAAGGAAAAGAAGAGGCGATCACCACCTGGACGATGAATACCTGAAGAGCTTTATTTGCCGAGTGTGCCCGCGACGCGATGGCTGGGCAAGTGCCCCCTCACCTGCTTTCTTCTGCAAAGAGTGACCGTAACAATGAAGCCTACCACAAACATTCCTACTGCATCATGGTTCCATACACTCCGGGAATCAGTGAGCAACTGGCCACGGTGCTAGAGAAGGAGGTTATCCAGGTGACGCACAAACTTGCATCAACGATTGGGTGACTCTTGCCGCAGCCAAAACACCAGCAGCCAAAAGAAAGATTGCCTGGGCTAGTCTACCAGGTTCCATGCACTGGTTGTCACACCACTTACATCGGTGAAATAAAAAAACTTTCCAAAAAGGATACAGCAGCATCGCAGCAACACACGTAGCTTCAATACTGCCTGAAACACTCTCGCAGAAAATCACAAAAAAATAGAACATTGCATCAACTTCGACATCGCCCAGGTCATCTACACGGAAGGTAGCCGCACAAAAAGGCAGTTGTTACAAACATTGAACTACAAGTGGCAGGAGAGTTCATCTGGTTTGTATGAATAATGTGGTATATTGAAAAGAGAATGTACCGTGAAACGCCAATATTTTGAACTCAGCAATTTCGAGATTCCACTTAATTCAAAATATTTATGCGGTCTTGTACTTGGCAATGTAAGTCTGACCAGATAATTGAAAGCAGTAGCCAGCATCAGTCCAGTTAATTCGAAAAGTTTGGGTGCTATGAGCCAGTTCCAGATCTCGATTTCACCGCAAATTTACGGAAACGACGGCCCTTATTAGACACAAGGCAATGCAATTTACCAATACTAATGAGTGGCAGCTGAAGCACCCAGCCTCACTACTTCCAGCACAAAAAAAAAAAAAGAAGAAGAAAACGGTTTCGTGATTAACTGAAACGTGCCCCGCGGAAAAAAGATGTACATTGCTTCAATGCAGCGGCGACGCACGGGCAGCGTGCCGCATGTTTCCTGCCACATCAAGGCATCTTCATTTTATCCACTCTTTCAGGAACATAAAATAACTAATAAGGACAGCTTGTGCAATTTGTCATCAAGTAGCGAATTGGGCTAGCTGGAACATATGATTCGCAGAATTTGCGCACTGCACTACTGGCGAAGTTTTCGCCTGCAAAGCCTATTTTGAAAACCAATCCTTAAAGTTTCAATGATGATGTTTCCAACCCAAACCACAAGCGAATTTCGTCCCACAGGCCATTATTAGATTCTTTATTTCACTAAAAAGAATGGACGAATGTCGCATCATTGCAGGCTGATGCAGCGAAGAGCATGTCACATGCTGCCTGCATGTCAATACGGTGTTGCAGTGAACATGTCTTGTTTTCTGCAGGCACGCATTTCAGTTGATCCCAACCACTTTTTCTCCATTCCCCCCCCCCCCCCCCTCAGTGGCAGCAGCGAGGCCCGCCATTACCTCGTGTTTGCGGCAAAATTAGAACTAGGTGCTGCTGAAAAATATGACCCTTGGAGTCCCAAACTAGCCAGCACGACAAATGACCAGCCCTTATTGCCTTGAATAATTACAAGTTTCTTTCATCCCACTTTTTGTATGCTTCGTTAATTCAAAACTCGCTCAATTCGAAGTTTTCCCATGGTGCCAGTGACTGCGAATTAACGAGACCTCAATGCACAAACTTATTTTGGAATACAGTAGCCTCTCAGTAAACAGAACCTGATGGGACCGGAAAAATATGTTCCATTCAGCAGAAGTTCCGTTTTTGATAGGTGAACATGGGTGCAGAATACAAGTCTGAAACCAAGCATTGCAGAGGCAATAGTTCCGTTTAAGCAGTGGTTCAGTTTAACAGATTTTCGTTTATTGAGAGTCTACTGTACACAAATTCTTTCATGATTTGTATATGTCGTTGTACCCTATGCTAAAAAACAATATTATAAGGAAGAAAAAGAGTAATGTAAACAAGAAGCTTCATCATACTGACCACACGGAATAACTTGCCTAAAACTGATTCGATGTGTGGATTCCAAAGCATATTTTATTAAATGTAGCTCCCAGTATTTTCACACAACTTACTATATCAATTCTTATAAAGAAGGGCAATATTATTGCAGCTTATCTGCTTAGATTCCTGTCTGAAAAATAACGACATTCAAAAAAGATGTCTCTCATTTTGCAAGGGCCGACTGGTGGCTTCCTTAGAAGGTAGCTTGAGCCAGGAACGTTGGTGATCGCTGTGTGCAGACGCTGTTTCGCCAAGCAGCCTCACTAAAACCGAGCCAAGGTCTCCGGCCACCACTCGGGATGCCTGTGTCGCAGGCTGCCAAATCAAACTCCTGTCACTCCCACCACCATTGTATTTGCTGGCAAGACAACCTCCTCTTGCTCAGCTCACACAGACAATGGCAATGTACCCTTGCTTGCATACCAAT